CAGAAGAAAATCGTCACATCATGCACATGCATTACTGGGTCAAGCCACCACGAAAATTCGGTCATTTGTTGATGCAACCCTGCCTCTTCGAATGAATACGCATGCACTTTTGGTGTATCCATGTTGTCGGGTTTTCCAAAAGGCCATGTTGAATGGCGCTGCATGTCATGCATTAGGCCACATATGATACGGAGTACTCCTTACGCGTGTTATATCGGATTGAGTACATCATTATGAAGTATCGAAATTGAACATGAGAACAAACAGAGAAATTCCGAATACCTTTGCAATACATCATCCCAAGGAGATGAGATACTTCAAAAGGTTCAAAAAGAACAGGGATGCAAATTATTTTCCGTCAGCCAACAGGTGTGAAAGCAACAGCCAAAGCCACGTTTTATGCCGGGTCGGAGTTCATAAGCAGAAAATCGACCCATTATCCTTTTCCGCAAATTCTACCTTCAACTGCCAATCCAAGTGCATGCTTGTTCTGGAATGTCTGCAACTCGGACCTCTGGGAGCCAAAGCATTACCAGCCAGCCCTGTTTACACAACGGATGCGCAAGGCTGGCAACGGTGACATGTGGGAAAAGGGGGGGCACGGGGGGCACCGTTCGCCACGCGTCCAACTTCGCCTCGCCTTGCTTCAAATCCTTCACAGTCGCGGCCAGATAGAGTAGTACTTGGCTGGTCCCTCCGCTGATATGGTGGAGACTGATGCAATTCCGGCACTCTTCCGCAGCGACCCAAAGCATCGGACCAGAACTGGGGGCCATTTAAGCCACCAAGGGTCCAAAAGAATCCCATGCAAAATCTGCTCCCTACTACAACATGTGGCACCCCTTGGCAGATTTTGGCCCATGACTAGCAGGCGAAAGCCGTCCCATTTAAGATCCAGATTTCTGCGTATCCTCATAGTATCACCCCTATTATAGTCAACCAGGGCGGTGATTAGCATCACACGAGGACGGTGTTAGCAAGCTGTGATGCCACATGGCACTGCACCCAGTCGCCAATTCGGAACTAAGTCAAGCATGCGGCGCCATATTTGGCACGCCAAGCTAGATCCCATGCGAATTATCTCGTAGTCAAGCATCAGAAGCAAAACCTCATTGCGGTTCGGTGAACTCCGTGAAGGTCATTGAGGATTCTTCAGTAAACAGCACTCGCCCTGACGCAAATCTTATGAAGTAAACTGGAGCAAAAATTTACCTGGAGTCCTGGGCGATTCAGCAATATAGTTCATTTCGAAATCGAGGCCACACAGGCAGAGGAAGGTCGGAACAACGCCCATTGGCTCCTGTTAGGCCAAGTTGGATCAGTGCCGTAAAATTTTGATCACATCCAATTACTGTACATACGTACCCAGATTGTCCATCGTTGGGCCAGCACGCAATGCCGGGGATGTTGCCGTGTTACCGGCGTCGTCGGATAATTCGATCAGCATACAGAGACGCCGTAGATATACATCACCCTTTTGTGCCTGGTTCTTTTTCTAGGGCACGCTGGTGTCCTCTTATGATAGTCAGTATCCTAGTCACCTCGGCTTCTCGCATTTGGGAACTCGGGCTCTTCCTTCACTATTATTCTTACTTCAGACTACTATGGTGGTTTATACTAGCATTTTTTCAGGTTACCCGGATAATATTATAGACTAAGCAGGATTGCTTTGGTGACCCTCGCGTTCCACATCCATACCAAGGCAAATTCGCATAAGGAATACTTGCGACTTGCTAGATTTAGTAACAGAATACTTCGCTCTGTCTCAGAGTATGGCTGATGTCATGGCCGAAGACTTCTTGTCTCGGACTGAAATCTTTCTTTCAGGGTTTGGCAAACCCTTACGATCACGCTGAGATACCTGCCATGCGGCTCAGCAAGACATTGCGTGAGGTACATGCCACGTCCCAATTATAGACAGTTGTCATGTAACAACATACGTCACGCGGGGCTTGCAGGATTTGCGCTCTCCTACCCCCTCAGACGGGACTTGAAGCGGATACTATTCCTCACCGAAAGCAATCATGTGCATATGTGTCATGTGCTAGAGCTGCATGCTCCAGATGTCGTTCTACCGCTGCATTCGACAAAACAGCGAGGGCCATTGCGCCCGTGGCGCAATGCCAGCCTTAAATAAGCGCTCTTTCCGAAGGTTTAAACGTTGGATTAATCCCGTGCTTATGACGTCTAGCTGTTAGCGTCCGATTGGGCGCCTGCGACGTTGCTTCCTCTGTTCACCGTGGCTCCCATCACTGCTGGTCATGGCTTTTCAACTTACTACGTATCAGTTGCATAACCGAAGGCCTCCACGTCTCTGATGAATGTTGAAGGGAGTAACAAGAAAAGTAAGTCTGATGCATGCAAAAACTGCAACAGGGTTAGGTAGTTGGTCTGCACCTGTTGGCAAATCTAATCCGCAGATTGCAGAAGCCGACATATCTAGAGGGGCATGGCGGCCACCAACAACATGTTCACACCAAAAAGGCAGAAAAGGACAGGAAAAGCAACGACAATGACGATGATCCTGTGGATCTCAGTCTCGGAAAGCGGGTTGAATGCCTCACTTACCGGACGAGTAATGATTACCAAATGTTATCCGCATGGCGCGTTTTCTTTGTTCTTGAAAAGGGAAAAAAAAGAAAAAGAAAAAGAAAACGAAACAGTTGTATCGGCTGGCCATTTTAGGTTGTGGAAATGAAACCTCACTTACTTGAAGCATGGGGGGTACTGGCAAAGGGCATTCAACAAGCCATGACTGATTTTCTTTTTCTCCGTGTTCGGGGTACAAAGACACGCGACGAGCTCAGAACGATATTACAGCACGAACACCCCAGGCTCATCGGATGTGCCGTGCTATACATCCGTTCCAAGAACGGGTTCCAAATAAAGGAAGAAAAAGAAACTTGACAGAAGCAAAAAAGCGCCATCAGTATTGTATGGTGTGGCTCAACAGTCCAGACAGGGCAGAGTCCAGCCCTAGAGAACATCCGCTCAAGGTCTTATGCGGCCAACAACGAACGGATAACAACGAACGGATCGTCTTCTTTCCTCCACCCCGTCGTCAACTAACTCATCATGGACTAATAATAAGATGTCAAGAGCGGCTGTGACACTCTGTAGCTCAGCAGCGGTGCCGACTTCCTTGACAACTCCCAAGGCGATAATAGGCGGTGTCGCCAAGTGGTCACCAGATGCCCTCTGGAGCACTCTCGGCATGGATTTGGCGTTGTGTTACCCGGGCTAACTGGAGGGCTTGTTGTACAATGTCTTCCAGAGTCGATGCTGAAGATGTCGTTCGCCGCCAATCATGTCATGGTACAGCACAAAGCGATCACGGTATCAGAGCTTTATAGTACGGATTATAGAGTACTTATACATGCTTTGGCATGCTAAGCAATCCAGTAGGGCAACTGCAACAGACATCCGGACAGAATGACGGGGGCGCCAGTCACAGATACGCAGACACGCAGATGTGCAACTACGCAAATGTTCAGACGGCCTTGTTCGCCGGGGGGAGCATTGCAAGACAAGGAGAAAATAAAAAGAAAGACAAGAAAATCACCCACGGCCAGGCTCCCTCGTATCGTGGGCAGCTTGGGCTGACTAGGCTCGTCACCGCCCTGCTCTCCATGCTCTCCACCTCTGGCTCATCTTACCCCTGCCTCAATCCGTACTTCTGATGTGAGGATGACAATGGCTCGAAAAAGCTGGGGCACAGAAGCAACGCTCGACCTGGTGTACCGGAGGCGCTGTGTAGCCTCTGCAAAGCTGGGTCCGGGCTGTTGGCTCAAAGCTCCAAGCCCGGTGTAGAGTAGTTTGAGGAGTCTTCAGCCGTGGCAGAGACTGCACAATCTGCTAGACACACAAGGGCCAGTTGACGCTCCCCGGCAGCTTGAACAGGGGCCACATATCGGCTCAGGTTTCCTTCTGTCTGGCTCGCCCCTGCAAGCTTGAGCCCGGCATGAGCCCGGCTCGTACCTAGCGAATGTACCAAGGTGCTGGGGACTGGGTAGGTACCTACCTAGGTAGGTAGGCAGAGTCATGGCTACGGAGCTGTACTCCGTACCAGTCGACCCCGTTGATCACTTCATATTGCATTGTGTCAGAGGGAAGCAGAAGGGGCCAGAGGGCTGGACACGAGCATACATAGCTACACCCCTCCCCTGCACCGCACGGGTAGTTGTGCTTTGTAGAAAAGGCTCCAAAGCCCCACGCACGGCCCAATGTCGTGCCCCTGGTCCGGGATTGGTGGCAGACACTTCGCCGCATTCACTCTACAATAGTTACTTGATAGTTACCTGTTGGTGTTGGATGGACAGCTTAGAGGGGAGATCAAGGCCTTTTTGCAGTTTGCTTTCTCTGGCTCATGTCACCGCCCGTTCTAACTAATCCGGTGCCAAACTTGGCCCAGCCCAATGGGTACCGAAATGGGCCTCGTTCGCTTATTATCCCCGAGGGGGCCGGGGGGCTTGCACCATCTTTTGTTTCTTTGCTGTGAAGAGGCATCTGGAGTCTTGAGTCGACTTCGACCAGAGAACTTATATGTGTATCCACTCCCTCTCTTCCGCTACATCTTGTCCCCCTTCTCTCGCACTCCTTTGCCATGGTGTTTCTGCCTTCATATTACTATGTCTAATCACCTGTCCTTGAATCTTCCGTTTTCAATTTCATCCTGACAAGAGAGCCCTGTTTGGATCGTACTCTTTCTGCTGATTCAAATTGGGACCTCCGCCATCCGCGTACAACATAGCGTATACTCTCCAGACTTGCCTATTCGGGAACGAGGACACAAGTCATCCTCGACGCACTCCGTTGAAGAAAGTTTTGAAACCATCAATCAATGAAAAAATCGGCCTTGGAATTATTCACTTATTGTTACCAAGCAATCACTGGCAGCCGTGTTTGTGTTACTGTATGCCAAGTAACGCCGAGTTTGCTTTACCACAAGAACGGACCGCGTCACTGTATTTACTTGAGAGACTCAACTTGCTCAAGAAGCCATGGTGAGGGGGCAACCGTATGCTGCCGCAGCAGGCCGCAATGGCAAGAATGGCAAGGCGACGCCGCCATTTCCCACTAAGCAGATGTTTGTATTAGGTATGAGAAATTGCAGCAACCTCACCGACGTGTTTGGGGCCTGTACTGACGCGCCTGGGTAGCCTGCTGCAGAATATGTGAACCAATTGCATTCATGTCCATATTTCCTTACATCTACTACATGATTCAAGACTTCCATGTCACAGATGATGCTAGCAAAATCTCGGTCTACGCGGGAATGGTCACCTCGGCTTTCACTTTGGCCGAGTTTGCGACTGGAGTCTTATGGGGCAGGTTGAGTGATAAGATCGGACGGAAGCCTGTCTTGCTGCTTGGCCTGTTAGGGACAGCTCTCAGCGTCTTGGTTTTCGGATTCGCGCCAAACTTGCCCGTGGCTCTCTTCGCTCGAGCACTTGGTGGCCTTCTAAATGGGTGAGCTACGTAGTTGTCCCACTTCAATTGTTGCTTTGCTTCTGACATCATTCTCAAAGGAATATCGGTGTGTTGCAAACAACAGTTGCAGAGCTCGTGACAGTCAAGGAACAGCAACGTAAGTCGAAGAGTCCGAACGGAAGGTTGTGCGGGGGCTAATGTGAAGCATTTCAGCTCGGGCCTATACCATAATGCCAATGGTCTGGTGTATCGGGTAAGTCAAGTTAGATGTCGACATTGCGAAGGAGATTCCTGACGTTTCCCAGCTCAATCATCGGTCCAATGATTGGTGGTGCTCTTGCCCGACCTTGCATCAGCTACCCGGACACTTTCCCTCCAGGCACCATTTGGGATCGCTATCCGTACCTGCTTCCTAATCTTTTCAGCGCCGCCACCGTCTTCGTGGGTGTTATCATCGGCTTCTTATTTTTGGAGGAGACGCATACGGCAAAGAAGCAGCAACGAGACGCTGGTCGCGAGCTAGGTGACCGACTTGTTGATTTGGTTGCCAAAGTCCCCCTTTGCGGAAGACTAGGCCGGCCTGCCGAGAAGAAAAGTCTCTTGGTAAACAATGGTGTGATGGGATACAACACCACAACCACCGGCAGCTCCGGCTTATCAGATGCGGACGAACCCTTGCCAGTATACCAGAGCAGAGAGTGTTCCCCAAATTTGGCACCTCAATCGGACGCAGACCCCGAGGCTGCCTCTGACTCTGGACGGAGAGAATTGGAAAATAGGCCATTGGTTATATTTACTAAGCCGGTCATCATGAACATCATGTCCTATGGCATTCTCGCATTGTGAGTGGATTTCGCTTGTTCACGCGCAGTACGTTGCTAATTCAGTTCTGTAGCCACACAATGACTTTCGATCAGCTCTTTCCAGTTTTTCTGAGCACAGAGTCTCCGATAAATGGGCCAACGGTTGAGCTTCCCTTCAAGTTTGTCAATGGTTTTGGCCTCGATACCAAGACTATAGGCGTCATTATGTCGGTTCAAGGACTATATTCGCTTTTTTCGAACTACATGATTGTAGCCCCAGTTACGACTCGGCTTGGATCCCTTCGTCTATTCCGAATGTTGGCCTTTTCATACTTCGCCTTATACCTCGTTACACCATATTTAGTGTTGCTTCCCCAAAACCTCAGGATGCCAGCCATCTATACCTTGGTCATCTGGAAGTGCACGTATGCAACCATGGCGTACCCGAACAACGCAATTCTGCTGGCAAACTCGGCTCCAACGAAAGAGGTTCTAGGTACTATCAATGGCATCGCAGCCTCTACTGCCAGCCTGTGCAGAGCACTCGGCCCAACCGTCTCCGGTTTCTTGTATGCCGCTGGATTGCACACTGGCTACTCTGGTTTGGCCTGGTGGTTCAGCGGGGTGGTGACTTTGGTTGGAGCTTATCTGAGTTCGCAAATTTCCGAAAATGGATCGCAGGCCGGAGAAGTAGGAATTGACGATCCTCTTCTGGACGAACGATTGCTCGATGATTACGATGACAACGACGTTGTCTGATACGTTATCTTTTCGAAAAACATGCCTGGCGGACCGAATTCTGAGTCTTTTGTCTTCATTTTCACTCTTGCCTGTGGTTACACTTCTGTTTACTCTTCCTATACACGATTTCTTCAATTCGCAACATTTGGACGACCACCCGTATACCCACCTCGGCATTTTTACTATTTCTTCCATAACTTTTCTCCTTGTCTAAACCAAAATTAATGTTGGCGTTACAGGATGTTCCCAGAAACCATGATTATATTTGGTAGCATAGACTTTTTTCAATCATGGGACAGCCAGATCCCGCGCAGAATATTGGGCTCGAGCTACCCCTGGAGCCAATTTGCTTTCTTTTCTTTTTTCTCCCCTTTTCTCAGACTCAACATGTGGTTTGGCTCATGTTTTTCGGTCAATGGTTTCAAAGTACGATTATTTATTTCATTTACCGGCAACGGTAATCTCTGACATCATGTTCAAACACATTTCCACTATTTTCCCCCCTGTCGCCTTTTCCCTTTTTGTTTCATATACAGACTGGAGGTTGATATATGACCCGAGGGATGGCAACGTCACTCAGGGCACACCTGGCGTTGCACGGAACGGTAATGAATAGGATTTTGCATGGACTTGGGGCTATTTGACGAGTTTCGAGATTTGGATTTTGCACGAATGCATGGAGATGGAGCGTGGGTACAGGTCAGGACATGGTAGTGAAGGGGGTGCGGAAACTCCCGGGGTTGAGTTTAGAGACATGAGCGCATTTGCAGGAATAACATAACAAATACCCTATGATGAATGGATATTGATGACTTTGCACGCATACCCGTTATTCAAATTGCTCGCCACGCAGACTCTTTGAGGCTTGTATGTACACGTACAAATCCATGAGCCCTGTTGAGCCTCTGGCGGCTTTATAGGAGGGTGCGCGGAAGACGGCGCGGCTGACGGGCCAATGAAACGAGGCACTAGCAAAGCAGACAGAATATGCATTTAAGGCGAACGTGGGAATATTTACTAAACCCAATCGCCGCCCCGACATGTTAAAAGCAGGATGGGGCAAGCTAAGATCTAGGTTGTGGCACGTATTGTTGCACGCGGAGTACGGAGTGCCAATGACGGCCTGGTGCAACCTCTACTCTAACTTTCGAAGGGATTTCCCTCCACAAGCGTCAATGGATTCCTTTGTTTGGAAGACGGACTTGTAGAATTGGGGAAGGCGGATAGCGATGGGGCGTTGAGTTGATTAAATCATGAAGGAATCAATAACAGGCACGGGCCGCTGTCAACTCTTGTTGTTTGATGGCGCATATGTCCTTGGAGGCGGCTAAGTTGGCTATATGCTGAACAATTAGTTAGTTATTATGCTTACTGCACTCGGTCCGTACATATGTACTCTGAACCTGAGTACTCAGGCACGCATCAAGTGTACTGTATGTAAACTCCACACTTTTCCCCACGGGAACTCGTGGAACGGGCCTCGACGGGCCATGGCTGCAGAGAAGCGCAGTCCGTCGCTTACCGAGGACGGGCCAAGAATAAGCAAGCAGACGGTAGTTACGGACGGAGCACATTGGCCGTGGCTGAGCCTGATGATGCCGTCGAGCTGGTAACAAGAGGGCCAGGGCGGGCTCGGCGACGGCCCAAGATTCAACCAAGATTGACAGCAAAGGCGCATCTCGGCCGCAGCCGCGCAACATACATTACACACTAGGTACTTTATGTAGTAGTATTTGCGAGTTTCCTCGGCCCCGTAACCCCGGCCGCTTCTCGTTTGTACATCGGAGCTGCGTCGCCGCGACGTTTGTTGTTGCTGGCTAACGTCTGACTCTTATTGCCCACAAATTCTCCCTCTCCGCGTTTCCATCTCCCGTTTCCATCTCGACCAATTAATTCCATGGCCATTGGCTGTCGCACGAGTCAAGATGCAGCTGTTTCTTGGCCGCCGCCGCCGCTCCACAACTTGAATCCGGGGCCTCGTCCAAATACTAGTACTCGAGTTGGCGTCTTGGAAGAGTCACTAGCGTCGACGGGGTCCAAAGTTGCTTTGCTATCTTTCCGTCCAGCCATCTTTCTTCCGAGGAGTCTGGTGCCTGGGCGCCAGGTCGCAGCCGTAATCCAGGACAAGACATTCCACAACTTCACGACACTCTCTCTGTGTGGACATGTGCACGTTTGCATTTGCATCTGCATTTGCATTTGCACACTGGCACACGTGCGCATTTGTGTTTTTCCAGAAACAAGTAAGACTTGCACCTACTCTTACACTCGCTCTTTCCCTCTCTCTCTCGCGCTGCCTCGTCTCACCCGGCGCCAAATCCCAAGTAGTCGTATTTTTGGCAAGTGCGACCTGACAGGATACCGGTTGACACCCCGCCGTTGTCGGCACTTTCGCCAGTCAACCCCAGATTCCGAGCTCTACCTCGAGCCTCGAGCCTTGGGCTAACGCGCGCATGTCATCTTGGAACATTAGTACATCCTGCGCCGCAAGAAGAGCCCGTCCGCCATCCCATCATCACCAAACTTTGGCCTCGCTCTTCTAGCCCTTCACATCTTCCTCATCTGCCAGCTACGGCGGCACACATCGCAGGGGACCTTGCAGCCATGCCATCGCGTGGCTCCCCGTCTCCCGGTCACCAACAAGGGACAAAACGGCAGCGACAATCCTCTTACGACGCCGCCTCGGATCGCAACAGCCAAACAAGCCCGAGCGAGCAGCTCGCCGGTGATGCGAGCCAGTCAGCTGCCGGCGCCGCGAATGCTGCGAATGCCGCCTCTGCAAAGGGTGGCCAAAGCAGCAACTTTCGCAATGTGAGCGCCTGCAACCGGTGCCGGCTACGCAAGAATCGATGCGACCAGAAATTGCCCAGCTGTGCGAGCTGTGCCAAGGCCGGTGTTGCCTGTGTTGGTTATGACCCTATTACTAAGAAAGAGATTCCCAGAAGGTACGTATGTGAATTCCCGGACATCTGGCGATGGGCCCAAGTAACTAGATGCCTAGATATCTGGGTAGTTTGGGTCAATGATGCTTGGAAATTAGGTCTTGAAGCTCCGTGCTTTCGGGCACATGGTCGTCGTATCATTTTTCCGATAATGATGCTAACCTACTGGACCGTAGCTATGTCTTCTACTTGGAAACTCGAGTGGAGCAGCTCGAGAAGCTGCTCGTCGCCAACAACATTTCTTTCCCACCCGCAGAGAATCTCGAGCTGTGTTCGCGGCCCTCGGCTGATGCTGCGAGCACCGTGTCTGCAACGGATAGTGGTTACTCGGGCCAGTCTGAGTCTGGTGACCGCGCACATCCCAGACAGCACCACGCGTTGGAGGCGCTAAAGGCAAAGAAGGCGGCTCCTCAGAGCCCAGCATTGGCCAGCATCATCAGCCCACCAAAGGCTAGATCTCTTGCCTCGGCATCTGGCGTCTCTTTTGCGCGCGTCGTCTTTGCTGCCGTTCAATATTCCGTATCCGAGCAGACGGGCTCCACAGAGCGTAGCGCGGGCCGTAAACAAAGTGTCAGCGGTGCCTCTGCTTCCATGAGAGATTCCTTCTTCGGCCTTCATACTCGGCCTACGATCCAGCCGGCACCTTTCCCCAAGAAGGAGGAGGGTTTGCGCCTGGCTACATTGTACTTTGAGCATGCTAATCCTCAAATTCCGGTCCTTCATCGCGTAGAGTTTATGCAGACGTTTGAAAAGGCTTACAAGAATGCCTCAAAGGGACTGACTGCTCGCGAGCTGTACATGATCAACATGGTGTTTGCCATCGGATCTGGTGTTATTCTTGGGGAGCCGGTGAGGACCTCTGCGCCGGAAAATCCCAGATTGTCACTTGATCAGGCTAAAGGCACCTGCCAACCAGAAGAGTACCATGCTAGTGCCATCGTACATCTGGAGGAATGCCTGAGCACAAGTGGTGGCTACTTGGAGGTCCTTCAGGCCGTATTGCTGCTTGCCAACTTTGCGTTGTTGCGACCTGTGCCACCTGGACTATGGTACTACCGACTTCTGAAAATTTGTCTTTGCCCTCGTCGTCACTCTGGCTAACTTTTATGGTGCAGGTACATTACTGGAGTGGCTGTACGGCTGGCTGTAGATCTGGGTCTTCACCATGAGGATGGAGATGTCGATGCAATTCCACCCGAACCTACCGCCGATCCCCATGCTGCTCAGGCTGCTGAGATTCGCGAGGGCAGTGCTCAAGACCGTGGCCGACGACATTGGATTCGTGACTTGCGACGACGACTGTGGTGGTGCACATACACCTTTGATCGACTAGTCAGCACGTGCGTTGGTCGACCATTCGGTGTCAGCGACGAAATCATCACAACTGAGCTACCGTCGCTCCTTGACGACGAATACATCACCCGGAATGGCTTCTTAGAACCCCCAGAAGGCGATGACCACCCCAGCTACAAGCATGTGGCGCACCATTACTTCCGCCTGCGACTACTCCAATCTGAGATTCTGCAAGTTCTGCAGTACAACCAGGCACAAATAGCACGGGCATCAAACGGCAACCAGGCCAAGCTGTACCCGGAAATGCGGTCTCATCTGCCTTCGCCCTTCCTAGTGCACTTTGACTCATTCCGATCATGGCGCATGGATATCGATAGAAGGTTATATTTGTGGAAGATGTCTGCACCAACGAGAGAAGAGACTGGAGTGGCATTCTCAACCGAATTCCTCGAACTCAACTACTGGCAGGCTATCATCCTGCTCTATAGACAAAGCTTAAGCGTGCCAGCCATGTTTGAAGGGGAGTACAACACTTCTGATGAGGTCAACAGCCCAACGGCCTTTACTGCGGAACTACGTGAGGATGAGGACCGCATCTATCTCAAAGTTGCAGAGGCTGGACAAAAGATCTTGCGCATTTACCGGCAGCTTCATCTCAGCGGGTTGGTCAGCTATACCTACTTATCAACTCATCATTTGTTCATGGCTGGCATTTCGTACCTATATGCCATTTGGCACTCACCGCTAGTACGAAGCCGCTTGGTACGTGTGGATTGATGCACATCCAAAAAAATACCTCCCTTCAATACCACCCGACTAACCACATGGCAGAACATGGAAGAAGTCGATTTTACAGTTTTAGCCGCTAAGTCGGTCTTTTCCGACATGATCGACAAGTGCCCGCCGGCTGAGACATGTCGGGATGCCTTTGAGCGAACAGCCAAGGCAACAATCAAGATGGCTTGCTCCAGTGGTGGGTTCGGCCAGCCCCAACCGTCGCGGCGACAGCGCAGGGAAACGATGCCGTGGACAAGTGTCCAGGACGGCTCGTCCATGAAGCCTCGGGCCCGCGCTCATAGTCATCGCCAATCAGAGGCCGCGCCTTTTCAGTTCGACCTATCGTTGTCAGACGGCTTATCGTCTCCCAGCATGTCCAACGCTGGAGATATGGCCGCTCAGCATACTCCCCCACTCGGAAAGACTAAAACCTACGATAGCGATGCATTCATGAGTGGCCAGAGTGCAGCTCGTAGTGGCCCTAGCCCCAGCGATGCAATGAGCCAGGATGACGGAGGATCCTCTATTGACCCGTCTCTGGTGCCGTCGACTCCCACGACACGACGTAGTGCGCCGCAGCATGGAGCGTCCGGCGCTTCCTTCCTAGGGCAGCAATTTGGTCTGCAAGGATCAATGGACTACCCGGACGCACAAACCATGGAGTTTCTGAACAACCTGGTTGCAACTCCGAATGGCGATATAAACGGCGTCGATCAGGCACACATGGATCTGGGGTTCGGGATGAACTGGGATGGCATGCATAACGAGTTCGGGGAAGGACAGCAAATCAATCCATTTGATACCTTTTTTTTCGGTGGCCAGCAGGGCAGCGGAGGCGTTGGCAACAACAACGACGACGATGAAAACAACAATGACAGCAGCAACGGCAATAGCAACAGCAGGAACAACAATTGATGTTTGCTTTGAAGGGATCGGAAACTCTGGAACAGGGAGAATATTGGGCGACGGTTTTTTTCATATATGGTGGTTTTCGGCGCAAATATTTTGCAGGCCTCTCTGCGACGAAGATGAGCCTGTATTTCATATATACCCCTATGAAATCAGATGGTTGGTTGTACAGCATTGAACAGTGTGGTCGGGGAGACGTGTGTCCTTGGCTCCAAAAAAGATGGCCCTTGTTGCATTTCAAGGGAGTTGCATGGGGTCTGGCTGGTGATTAATTTGGCTTGGCGAGGATGAAGGGAAACTGCGGCGTTGAGCATGTACTTGTACATGGATGGAATGGCATGTGAGAAGCTAAAGTGTGTATAAAACGAGTTGCAATCAAGTAACAAAATAAAGCCCAATCCAACGCGAAACGCCATACAAGGAAAACAAAATATCGTGACATCATAGCCCAGGCTTCACCAAGATCGATTGGCGATGCCAAATTGCCACCTCGTCCAACAACAACAACAACAACAACAACAAAAAGACACCAGGGACTCGCCGCAAAAACAAATCCCCAACAGTGCCGAGTACCGGCCTAGCTGTACCTCCTGCTCCTCCTCCGGTCGTCGCTCCTGCGGCGACTGCTGTGGCGAGTCGTCTTCCGCCTGCTCTTCCGCCTGCTGCCCCTCGGCAGCTCATGCTCCTCAAGCCGCCGTCCTCTCGCACGTGCACCTCCAGCGTCTCCGTGGCGTGCGCGCGCCTCGGCGGGCGCCTGCGCTTCCTGGGGCGGAAGCTCAGCACGCTCGACGACGACAGGTCGCGCGTCGTCGTCAGGGCAGAGGCCGGCCCGCAGCCCAGGCCCGTGTACAGCAGGTACAGCAGCAGCAGGGCGCCGGCGACGGAGCCCAGCACGATGCCGACCACGACGCCGGGCGACGGCGAGGAGTCGAGGTCGCCGTACGCCGCGGGGATGAAGGCGCCTGCTGCTGTTGGCGTGGGAGCGTTTTGGCGCGCGTCGAGCGCCGGCATCTTTTTTGCTGGGTGGCTGGTGGGGGGGGGAGGGAAAAGATGCGAGGTTTCCTTTTGCCATCATCCCATTGTTCCGACGGGGGGTGGCGACGGCGTCCCTTTTTGACAGATTCGGGAAGAGAGGGGGGGCACAAAGACGAGGCTGCCGAGTCAATGCGTTTGGAGTGGTTTTTTTGTTTACCGGCGTTGCGCGTGTAATCTTGATGGCGCAGGCGCTTTGTTTGGCCGGCCCGTCATTGATGTGCGGGGACGGGCAATGCGGCCTAGCTCTTCTTCTTTTGTCTAGAGATTCGGAGATGAAACTGGTTAGACGGGCTTCTTTTGATGAATCATGTACTTGGCACGTGGGTTTGGGGGGAGATCGACGCCCGGGCAAAAGTGTGCCCTGTGCATGATGCCAGGGAAAAGCGGAGCTTTGCCTGCTTGACAGAAGGCCGGCCGGTAACTGGTCGACAGAAAGTGGCGCAAGGCCGCGTGCAAATAGCTTTGTTGAACCTCGAGTCGTGACGGCGCTGATGCCAAAGCCGGCTCGACGCGGGCGCAACACAAAAGAAGCGCTGGGGATTGGCAGCTACTATAGCTAGCCTTTGGAAGCTTCAGCCCATCCGGTCAAGACATGCTTCAAATTTTTCGAGTGCGACTTCAACAGCTTAGGGCGTCTCCAACTCGACCAACTTCAAAAGAACTCGAATCCAACACCTGCGGCAGACCAACGCGCCCGAATTCAACGCTTTCCCTTGACCCAACCCCCATGTCAACATCCCGTTGGTATCAGGGTCTTGTCAAACCATACCAACCTCGGTGCCAAAGCAATCTTGCCCCATTCCCGTCCGTCTTGCGGCAGAGGGGAAAGGAGTAGACAGGTACCCAAACAGCCTCGCCTTTATCGGGCAAGCTGCGTTCGTGCTGCGGCTCCGGACCGGACTCGCGTTGCTTTCTCGCCGAGTTGCCTTGGGCCTGTCAGATCATGTATTTGCCCTGGGTTCTTGGCGAGGTGCTTGATTTCAGCTCCGTGTCAGCATTATGCCGTCTCACTCCACACAAAGCCCATCCCCCACCCGTAAGCCAAAGGGTTCATAAGCTATTCGAGCATCTGTTCCTTTCAACTGCGGTCATAGATTAGCTGGGAGATCGTCAGACTGAAGTCCAGGGCTTCAATCCTACGGATGCCTATCTGAAGGTCGTGTGTTCAAGTCACACTGACCGCACATCTTTCTTTTTGTCTCTTCCCTCGGCGGACTAACCAGGGGTCTTCGTTTATGCAACAGTAGGTTTTTTTTTCTTAACCTTTTTTATTAGAGCCTATTTTATGTAGCTTGCGCGCTTTTTATTTATTCGTTTCTTCTGGCCAACAATAAACAATCAAATTCGCTGCCTTCACGACCTTCTCCCATTCTGTGCGTGCCAAAATTTCCTCAGACAGGTAGCAACAACGTGTAGTTGTTCATTATCGTTATTAGGTACTACTTCGTCACACTACACCAGTCTATTCGTCTGACTGTTTACCGCTCCCCAAACAGCCAAAGCCTAGGCACTACAGCATCACTGCTAACGCGCCGGTACTAACTCCCAGAGCGATAAACATGGTGGTAAAGATATCCATGTTAGACCACAAGGCGGCGCCAGCACCGGGACTATCAGGCCGAGTGGTACCGGTAGCGACGGTAGCTGTCGTCGTCGGGCTACTTTTGTCATTGCCTCCGCCGTTATTAGCCGTGTTCTCGCTGCCGCCGCCATTGTTCGGGGTGTCGGTGGCGTTTGGTCCGTCAGCACCACCTGTTCCCTTGCGCGTGCTGCCAGTCAGAGAAGCGAGGCTCGTTGCCGACGCGGGCGTCGAAAAACTGAGCGTGCTGGAAACGGAGCTGAAGTAACTCGAGGCGGCGGCGGCGGCCGTCGCGCTGACGCTCAAGACGCTGGTGGTAGACGTGCGCGCCGAGGTGATGACAGACGCCTGAATGGCGGCAGAGTAGGCCCAGTAGTAGTAGTAGTAGTACCAAGTCATGGTCCAGTAGTAGTACTGCGTGCGGGTTGTCGTGTAGGTTCTCGTGGTGGTGCGGCTTGCGGCATATGTGGTTCGGCCGTTTTCCACACGCGCTGTGCATCGTGAGTCGGTGCAGCAGACGGGCAGGTTTCCTTGGCTGGGTAGGATATAGCAATGGTTTCCGGCTTCGCAATATCGTCCGTCCTTGCAGCACTCGGCGCCGGAGGGGATGCAGCGGTCGCTCCCGCAGCACTGTTCCCTCAATTTACACGGTCCTTGGGGACAGCATCGTGAATCCGAGGGCAGACAGTAGCCATAGCCGCAGCATCTAGTAGATGTTGGGCAACATCGTCCAAAGGCTGGATAAAAAAAGAAACAGAGTTGGTCAAAAAGTCTTGCGGGATGGAGGAGAAAAAATATTGTTCAGGGCTCATCGTACCTGAACAGTACCAATAGCCTGCTTCGCAAGACTGTCTCTTGTTCAGGACATGAAGCACGCCGTTCGCAGACAGGGCAGCACGTCCAAACATTGGATCGGCAGAATCCCTTTGCCGCAAAGGACTCTTCAACGCGCCAAGCTTGGATGGTCCACCAACAGCATCAATGACCATCTCCTCAACTTCAAAGTCCTCCAGACGACCCTCGAGGTTGCGGTCATAGTTGAGAATGAACTCGCCAGCCGCCAACGAGGCAAAGAAAATTTGACTGAGGAGCATCTTTGGATATAATTTGCAAATCAATGAAGCTGTACAGGCCAGTTAACACGATTCTTGTCAGCAAAATACAGAAGCTGGCACATACAAGCTCCCAGTGATGGCAAAGAAGGACGGCTCTGTGCGTCGACCTAGGAATGAGGCTCACTACTTATCTAGTTCCTTCAAGATCATCACTTCACCCCTGGGGTTGTGGCATATTCCATAGCCGCACCCTTACAGGCTGAATTGAATGACATCTTCAACCTAGTCATCAGCCCTGTCTTGACTGGCGCCACCAGGACGTGTTGGCGGGAGTCAGTCCGACTGATATGTCAGCTGCGGAGTAGATTTTCGCCGTTTCTGGTGATAAGATGGCGTTCACGACTGTATTCGAGGGCAGGCCCAAATAGTGAGGCCCAGGTTTAGAGGATGAACTAAGACTTCAGCTGCCAAGCACCGATCTCTTTTGGCGTCGACGGTGGACATCTGGTCGCAGCCGCATTATGGTCTGCCGGGTGCCCAGTGGGCTTTTTGCATGTGTGCACTGTGCAGGCACGCATCAAGAACCACGAGCAAGGTGCAAACGACCTCTTGCCAACAACGCCATGGTAAGAATTCATGGCCTTCCATGAGCTACTTGGCCCTAAGTCTTTCTTTACAGCTAAGCTACGCGACAAGCATTCGTTACCGAGCTACACACACAGTTGGCTCCGAAGCATATTTGCTAATAACAATTTCAAACTGACAGTGCTTTACGCCCCAGACTGCTGAATCAAAGGGGGGATTCGATATTGGTCACTGTCGGTTCCCAGCACGAGATACAGCTCGCCCGACGAGTCACTGGTCATGAATAGTCTCTTCCCTTCTCCGCCAAACGCCAATCCAACAGGTCGGAAGCACTTCTCGGGGCATACTGAATTGTCCTTGTTCCACATCAGTTCCTGCTCAGCCGTGGGGCTGCTCTTGGCGGCTTTGGGATATCCTTCAGAAAAAGCTACACGGCTAAGGCGGTAGCCATTCGGAGGCTTGCGGTTCCTGCAATACGATACATAACCTGTCTGTCAGCATTCCACACTGTCGTCCGTGTCATGGTTTCATCAACTTGTTCCATTAGACTCACCAGCTTCCGTGGAACGAAATCAGGGCCGCCGAGCCTTGCCAATTGAATTTGATGTCCAGCGGCGCGAGGTGAGATCCAAAGGTAATATAAGGAGACACGGTATCCTCCTGGCACCACTGATCTGTATAATTGTTGGGCATTTGATCTCCCACCATTTGAAGACCAATCTTGGCTCCTCCTGGGTAGCCTTTGACATTGGAGGTGTCAAAGATAGCTACGCAGGATGGGTAGCCAAAGTTTTTGCCGTAAACTTCACTGATGGTGTCGTTAGGTAGCCCATGGAAATTGAGCTCTTCGCCGGGGTTCGAGTTATGAATATCGACGCCATTCCGCTGCATATTATCGATGGAATTTTCAACAGACCACTGGGACCGAATTAGCATTTTCATGTTAGGTATTTTGGGGTCCAGAGTTCGTCACTTACAACATATCCCGTCACGGGATCTTCAGCCACACCCACACTGTTTCTGAGCCCCCATCCGAGCACCTCTCCGTCGGAATACCTGACTGGGCTATCGATCTTGAGAAGATGGTCAATCTTGAAAATGCGGATCTGGCTTTTGGCCGACCCAATTTCCACCGTATCTTTATCGATATTACCATCAGATCCTCTGGAGACGAGCAGCAAGTTTGAGTTGTGCTTTGGAATCAAGAGAGTTCGTGTAGCATGGCCGCCTTGATCCATCCCAGTTATAATATTCTTGGCCTTTCCCACCGTTCCCTTCTCAACATCGTAATCATAGGCATAAACATCAGTGGACGATGAAACAAAGAGCGTTTTGCCATCAGATGAGAGTTCAATGCCGTGATTCAACTTAGCAGTCATGGGTTAGCCTTTCTCATATTTTTTCTCCCCATGACTTTCAACCAGAGGGGAAATTGCCAGCACTCACAGTCTTATCGTCAATAAGGGACGAGCTCTTCGTGATACAAGTGTCCAATCCCTTCCCATCATCCAACTCAATGCGTCTAACGCCCTTGGCCCCGGCCTCAACCACCAACAGATTCCCCTTGGGATCAGCAATGACACCCCGAGGCTTACTCAGATCATTCGCCAGGACCTTGAACTTGACGCCCGGCGCTGTCTGCGGATCCGACTTTGGCTGGATGGGCTGACATTGCGCAGCAAGTGTCAACCCTGTATATAGCGCCGCGAGGAACAGATGCAACGGGGCCATGGTTGCAAGCAGCAAACCGTGAAAACGCGCCGCGAACCGCAAACCAAAAGGGGCCAAAAATCTACAACCCACGAGGCATGGATGATTATTTATCCTCCGCAGGCCTCGGGACAGTAAGTCCTTCCTTCCATGCAGTATCAGTTGCCGTTCGTCATTCATTGGCAGGAAGCATCCCCTCCTTCCCACCCAACCATTCCTGCAAGCCACCAGGCAAGGTCGTCGTCATCCCTAGCTTGCCATTCGTGCTATCCCACCCGGCGCCCACGAGGGAAGAAGGTGTTTGTGGTGCGTCCCAGGGCGCCGATGGCCTTCAAACCGGTCATGCTTTGTGCTTGGCCAAAAGCCGTAGGTGGTAGTGATGCTAAGCCGCTGATCCTGTCTGATCCCGTGACTGCGGTCCAATGGGAAAAACTCTGTGCAGGACGGAGAGTCATCATCCCAAGAATTGGCACTGGTTAGTCCGAGGCACATTATGCAACGTGCCAAGGACGTGGAATTCTACTCCCGGAAGCGAGAGAGTCGGTCATGGACGGAAATGCGCCGTGGGAGAAGCTTAACTTTCAAGCTTAGTAGCCACGTCACCGAAGTGCCGAGCACAATTGAAATGTCTATTTACACCAGACTCTTCCACCATCCATGGCGAGCATGACCAGTTAGCCAGCTACCTGCCCAGTGCGCATGTGCCTTCTAGGTAGGTAGTTGGGCAATTCCGACTGTCCTTAATGTTTGCTGCATGATGCAACATTCAGCCAGAGTATGATTCGATAACCTCCCCATTCGAATGACAACCACGCTTAAAACAGTAGAGACAAGGTCCAATGTAGCATTTTCAGTCATCATTCTCGCAGCACCACTCCGTATGCTACCATCCAATCCTACGCGGCCAAGACAAAGTTGCTCACAGGTCTACGACTGTTCGACCTTTTTCCCTTCGAGGCTCGTCGTTACATTGCAGTCTGCTCTTTTGATATGCAGCAAAATCCGCCCAATACACAAAATCCGCCATTCCGGTACCCAAAAAAGTCCAAGATGCTCATCTAGCTGCTTCCTGGTACGCAAATTCAATAATTCACCTGCACCAATCAAGAGTCTCGTTCGTAACCACATCCAGTCCAAACATGCCGAAAAGAGAGGCTCCATCCACATGCGTAAATCCATCATCAATTGAGTGTCGCAATCGCTTCATTCGTTACACGTAGGTACACACAACACAAAGAGAAAAAAGGAAAAGGGAAAAAGTAGTGATAATGAAAATGGTCGGGCTTTTTTGCGTGACATGGTGCCTCGCGGCGAATCCAGTCTAAGCGCTTAAAAATGGCTTCAGAAAAATGAAAATGACGTATGATGTCGGGCATGATACAGCGTAACTAGACACATAGGAGACAAAAAAGAGGGGGATTCGAGTCCATCCTGGGCTTTGGAAAGCGATGATAACAATGCTTGAAACGGGTCGTGATATGCTGAGTTGGCAATTACAAAAAATGCGTCATAGTGTTACACAGGCATCATGTCCTTATCTGCATCTTTTGCGGAATAGGAGGCAATGCCCGGGTTGGTGGGGGAGCTGGTGGAGGGCCACTGACAGCTATTTGTGGCATACTCCTGCGATTCATAAGTGAGGTTCTTGGGGTCTTGTCGACGTTGAGATAATGGCCACTTGTTGGCTGCGACTCTGACGTAATAGTGACAGATGAATTAGACGAGTGGTTACTCGACACCGTTGAGTCGTGAACATCGTATGAGCGCGACGACCGCTCGGAAAACACGGAGCACATACTAGCTCTCTTTGCAGCACGAGAGGGTTCTAATGACTGGCTTCTTATAATGTCGGCGGTGCTCTCACCAATATCCAAGAACGAAGTTCGGTGCCCACGTGGCGGTCCGTAGATGACTGGAGGGCCAGTTGGCACCACCATAGACGCAATATGGGGTCGTCTATTTACCACCGCTGGAGGCGGTTCTGCCGATGGTATCCCTTGTCGAAGAGCACCGGTGCTAGAGTGTTTGCGAGGACTGAGACGCCAGGATGATTTCTCTGGTATAGATTCTGGGGCACGGGAAGCTTGAGACACTTGGTCATCGCCACGCCTGCCAGCTCTGCCCCGAGAGACTGATCGCAGTCGTCTTTGCCGAACGTCCATCGTCGGCAACGTTGGTAGCGGGGGCGACTTCGGAGAGGCCGGTAGCCGCTCTGTGGCTATGGTTCGTGTCACGGCCTGGTCAGTCACGACGGACAAGCGATGGGCTGACTGCATCGCTGTCGGCAGCTTTCGGCCAAATCTTCGAGGTGATGTGTCACGGTCTCGTCTACGGCTAGGAGAGCCGTCCGTGCTACCCGCCGCGCCCCTTGCATACGAAAAACGACGATTAGATGAACGCGGCACACTGAAGTTGGGAGTAGGCTTGACACCGAGGGGAGAAGTCACCCGGTCAGGATGCGCATCAGTAACACAAGTTGGCAAAGAGCGCATCTTTCCTTTGGGGGGCAGACCATCGTCAATAAAGGGAGCGGTAGCTTGCACCGACTCTCTTCTCGTCACAATTTCTGACGCATTCGGCCTCGTCCTGACTTCTCCCCTACCAGAAGATTCATGATGGCCAAAGATTCCCTCATCAAATTTATCGTGTGTAGGGGATCCGTTTGGCGAAGAGCCAGTGGATGTGACGTGTGTACGTTGCCCACACGAGACGAAAGATAGACGATTTGAACTTTCCCGAAGGCTTTCCAGCTGGCGTTCATCTTGAGACACCGTGCTGTTTGTAGTAGAAATGTCATCCAGGGACTGATGGCGGGCTGTGTCGGTGCTGGTTTGTCGCGTAAAGGTTTCGCTACTTCTCGTCTCTCGCGGTGGTGACATGATGGATTGGCTAGCCTTACTTCTAGAGCTCATGAATCGGGATGGATCTCGTACAATAAGAGTGCGCTGGCTCATGTGTTCCCTAAGGTGTGGATCAGCACCAGCAGGCTTGGGCTTTCCGGTCTCTGATAACTTCCTCCTACCACCTTGCTTTTCGATCTCGTTTCGCAGAACGGCCATCCAGCCTTCCATATCCTCAGCATTCTCGAAAACCATTAGCAGATTAGACGCGTTACGTCGTTCAGTGAGGCGAAATGAAAGTTTAGAGAATATGGAGTGGCTCTCGAGCCCCTGATGGTCATCGACATCTGCCACTGAGGATACCTGGACAACCCAGTGGCGGCCTGGAATCGCGTCTGTGGCGAATGCCGCAGACGAAGGACCTAGGCGAAGAATCTTCTCCGGTAAGCGATCGAAACTGCCATTTCGAGAGTATTGCAAGAGATATCCAGATGTCACTAGAACGTAAATCTTAGTCGTCCACTCAAAACTTGTCCCGGGCGCATTCAAATCCCATTTATTATTCTTTTTCCTGTGTTTGTCCATGTCTGCTTCAAGATGGTCATTTCCGGTTCCGTCAGCCAAGCCTTCCTCTTCTTTCCTCTGGAGACTGTTTTTTTTCTCATTGATTCTTAAGATAGCATCTGCGGAGATGGTCGCCGCTGGCAAGGTGGCATGGTGAACGGCTTGGGGAAAAGCCTTGAATAACGGGGGTAATGACCAGCTCGCGCTTGAGGCATCAGATTGCCCGCCAGCCCGCGAATTCGCCCTCCTTTTCCTTGCCGGCGGTACGTTACGATGTGAGGATTGCTCGGCCTTGGGGTCCTCTGCTGTGGCTGCAAGCGGTTTCCATGAATAATTTGTTGGCAGGTTGGAGTCATATTGGTAAACGTGTGGTGGTTGACTTACTCCCGCCATCGATGCGCGGAAGTTTGTCTTCTTCAATGTAGCCGGCGTGGTACTCTGCTCTTGATCGTCCCTTGCAGCTTTGGATCGCCCGAATATGTTCCGTAACCCCAGTTTCGACTCGCGACGGCCAAGTTTCTCAATTCTATCCACCTTCTCTTGCCTGATTGGCATTCGATTCTCCAGCTCGGCCGCATAATCAACTCCTGGTCCTCGAGGTCCTCGAAGATTATTACTAGGAACGCGCTGAGCGTTGTCGAGCATTTGCTCATGTGTCATTGTAGATTAGTCGACAGAAATCCCGCCGATACCAACAGGGGATGTCTCTTGTATTCTCGATAATCGCGAGTCAAATCTTTGTTGTTGTTTTGAGGTCAAGTGGCAAGCGAGCGACTCCCAAGCCATGCGAAAAGATTGACGTACTCAAAGCTGTATGACTGTGGGTAATGCTCCTTTGACTGGAACAAAAGGACAAAATCAAGTCACAAAGAGGCTTAGAGAGAAAGATGCCATCAAGTATTTTCTTTTTACACGGCTCTGAAAGCCCCGAGGGATTGAGAGAGTTGATAGAGAGGATGGAAGGGTGGGGATGACGAGGTATCCGATTGTTTTGGTTGAGGAAATGGTAGGCTCTGTTACTGCAAACTTGTCTTGGTAAACGGTTCGCTTTCCTTGAACACAAGAAGGGTGGCCTGATGTATGATTCGCCGGGATCGAGGTTGTTGATGCGAGGGAGCCGAAAGAGAAGAGCGGGAAATGAAAGGAAAGGGACCAAAGGAAAGAGGCAAGACAAGGCGAGACAAGACAAAGCGAGGTGTTGTGTCGTTAGACCCTTGACATGCTTGCAATTTGAAGCACCAACTTGAAAGGACAAAGTAAAACAGAATGAATGTCACTGGTAAGAAATGCGATTATAATATAATATGGATTTTACTCCCCTCTGGCTCTACTGTCCCATAATACGGAGTACGGCTGCGCCAGTTCTCCATCCTTGTAGTCGGTATTGAGCGAGGTAGGTGGGCCTAGAAGCGGTCCCATGGCGGAACGGAGTAGTGCTAACACACACACTTTGACAATTTGTCGCAGGCGAAGTGCGGATGTCTGAGTCGCTTGGAGTCCGGGAGTCACATCCCCCTGTACTCCGTACCAGAGCTGTGGACAAGTGGGAGGGCAACCCTCTGTCGACGTCGAGGTGCGAGGAAAGGCTGGGCCAGGGGGTCAGACAAAGTGTGATGT